TATATATATATATATATATATGATATAGAATTAAAGTTGAAATAATGTTGCATTCTACCTTTTTACCAGTTTTAGTTTTGAGGTTACTTTTTACTTATTCAAATTATCACTTGCGTCATGTGGGCATTGCTTAGGATAACCGTTGACAAGACCCACAACGTGTTGTGAACTAATGAAAGAACAGCTTTTCATTTATGGACAAGTGCTTTTTGAGAGTGTCATAAATGATAATTTTGTATAAATTCATATCTATTATGCAATTAAATCGTTGTTGATCTTTATTTATTTTTCTCCTAGTTGTTCCCCTTCCATTCTTTACTCATTTACCTACTATAGTACTATCTCTTTTGATGATTTTTTTTATTCTCTTTTTTTAATAGATAATTTTTTATTAGAGAAAAACTTATTTGAGATAGATAAGACTACTATGAACCTCAAAGTTCTCCCTCTAAATAAAAATTTTCACATTATAAAATAATGTTTGATTTCTTCTATTTGAATCTAAAAGGTGAAAATTTTGGTTGAGGATGAATTAATTATAACCCCTCTATATATATAATTTTGAAAAAATACATAAATTCTAATGTGTACTATAATATTAAAAATAATTATTTATTTTTAAAGATGACTAAGAAGTGAAAACAAAAGGAATTCATATTTTACTAAAAGTGTTACATTATATCAAAGTATAAATAAAAAAATCAAATACATGTACTTCTTTTAAAATATTATTAAAAAGTCATTGAATATTAATTATGTTAAAAGATGGGCTTAATGATTTTGTTATTTCAGATATTCAGAATAAGATATGTTTGGTTATAAAATTTTGATTAGTAATTTTGTGATAAATAAAAATTAAAATAAAATTTTATAAATGATATTGAAATAAATCTTATCTAAAGCTTCAAATTTTCTGGACAGGATGGCGAGTGAGTGGTAATGACACAATTAAAAAGCAACATGGGCGAGCAGTGGAAAGGATTCAATTAGGGTAGTTGTTCAGTTGATAGACCGAGTGAAAAGGACACGTGTGAGAAGCAATGAAAAAATAAATTCACCTAAAGTCAACCATGAAATTTAGCCTCGATAAAATTTTTATTGTACTAGTTAAATTTATTTCAAAAAGGTCTAACGTTAAAATCAATCAATTTAACTGAAAAAAAAAGATATATAAGAATCTCAAACTTAATTTCTTTTTAATGTTATTCTTTTACTAAAATTAAAATTTTATCCCCATAACATGCAATATATATATATATATATATATATATATATATATATGCAACTATGTATTTTTCTAAGTTGGAGGAAATTTACATCAAAGAAATGAAAATGTTAACAAACATAAGGCAAAGTAAAGTGAGAGTTGATTCTTTTTCTAGTCTCATTTTTGTGCATATTGAAGATTGTGCAAAACTAGACAAGTTTTTTTCTAAGTCACACTGAAAGATGGCTTGAAAGTTTGGATAGTTTGAAGGTTGTTGATTTCAAGTCGGTGAAAGTGATTTTTGAAATCAATGATTCTCATCAAGAAAATGAATTTGGTGGATAGACATAGATTTGCAACTCATTCTTATAGATGACCTCCTAATGGAAACTCCAAGGAGAGACTTAATTGATGTAATTCCTCCTTCAAGCTTCTAGAACATATTTTTCTCTTCTTGGTCTCCTTCTAGCTTCGTTAATGGCTTCCTAAAGTGTTGGAAGCCATGTTCAAACAAACATGGAAGGGTAGGAAACTCCCTTGGTGATACCACACTCATGTGAGTGATAAGTCTCTCCAATTCTCACCACACTAGAGAATAATAAAAAAGGATCAAGTTTCAAGGAAAGAAGCAAGCTTTGAGAGAGAGAATTAGCGAAAATTCATCCAATTCATGTATATACTAAAAGTTATCACAAAATGGGTACCAAAATACAATATATAAATTTAGTTGGCTTATGGTGCAAGCTAGATTAATAATGGTTAAATGTAACCATGGTTAGCTATCTTGTACTTAATTTAACTAACACTAGTTAAATATCTACAAGTCTAGTTAGTTGCCTAGAAGCTTATGAAGGAAGCTAAGCTAATCCTAGTTTAAGAATAACCTAGGTTAGCTTAAGTTAACTCCAACTGCCTAACCTAATCATTACAACTACTAGACTAATGATTACTTTTAATAAGTTTATTAGGATGTCATTATCAAAGCCATGTGACTTAATTTGTAGGTTGGTTGCTAAGATTGGCATGGTTTGGACATCTAAGCTGGAAAAAAAATTAAGAATTCTAAGCTTTTATGGATCTTAAATCAAACATTTTCCAATTGACTTAGGGTACTTAGATAAGCTACAATTACTAAATATCAGCAATTGTTCCATAGTGAAGATGATTCCTCTTAGTTTTATATCTAGGTTGTCTTATTTGAAAGAGTTGTATATAAGAAAGAGTTTGATCAAAATGTTGGTGAAAAGAAAAAAAAACCCAAGTCAAATTTCAAATCTTCTTCCTTGTGAGTTTCTGTTAAGTTTCAATACCAAATAGTTGCTTGTTTGCATAAAATTGTAGGTTTACATCTTTCCTAAGTCTGAGGAAATTCACATCAACGAAATGAAAATGTTAACAAACATATGGCAAACTGAAGTGAGTGTTAATTCTTTTTCAAGTCTCATTTATATGCATATTGAAGATTGTGAAAAACTAGACAAGATTTTTTCGAGTCACATGGAAGGATGGTTTGAAAGTTTGGATGGCTTAAAGGTTCTTGATTGCAAGTCAGTGAAAGTGATTTTTGAAATCAATGATTCTCATCAAGTAAATGAATTTAGTGGGATAGGCACAAATTGCAACTCATTCTTATAGATGACCTCCCAAACTTGAATCATGTGTGGAGTAGAGATCCAAGAGGAATTCTTAACTTCAAAGAATTACAAAGCTTCTGTGGCCAAAGATGTTCAAAAGCTTAAAGCTATAGCGATACAAAGATGTTCGGAAGTATTCTAGTCTATAATTGACAACTTGACCTTAATTTACAAATTTGATTATAACTCAAGTTTGAGACCTTCTTTTTGAGTTATTCCAATGACACTAGCAAGCCGACATTTAGGACTATTTACTAAAGACTTAAAATTAGATAACTCAAATTTTAGTTAGAAGAGTTTTATTTAAAAAAAAAAAAAAAAACATAGATTAGAATAAATTACCATTACATACAAAATCAGAGTGAATCACTAATATAGTAGAACTACATAGTACTTACTTTATTTTTAAGGCAAATCTGCATTGATCTCAAATTCTAATTACTAGAAGCGAAAAGACTTACAAGAATAGACTAAAATTAGTTTGATAACTACGTATGAATTATTATATTTTATAAAAAAATAATTTAAGGTAGTGATTAAATTGAATAAACTTAATCATGGGACCCACTCATGACGTGTGGAAACATCCCCAGCCTCGGAAGCTAGACAATTGAACAGTTGAAACTTTTGCCTACAGCTAGAATCCCCGACCAAACGCCAATCTTCCTTAAACCGTATCTTTTCACTTTTGTAGCATTGGCACAGCACATTTTAACATCTAAATTGAACATAGTATTGTTCAGCTACATAATTTGCCACCTCATAGTGTTATTCTAAACTCATGGCTTGGCCTTGTGTGTGTGCGAGTTTGACATCAGTGATGTTGGGATTGGTGGTGTTGAGTTTAGCTTCACAAAGTTGCTATGGTTTGGGCACATTTGGGTTTGACATACACCACAGGTTCTCGGATCCTGTTAAGGGGATTCTAGGAATTGATGATGTTCCTGAAAAGGGAACTCCTGAATACTATGCTGTTATGTCTCACAGAGATCGCATATTCCGGGGCCGGAGACTCGCCGCCGGCCACCACACTCCTCTCACTTTCGCCGCCGGCAATGAAACTCTCCGGATTAATTCCTTAGGATTGTATGACAACTCTTCAACCCCACTTCTGAAATTTTTAACTTTTATCTATTTTCTCTTGTTAGTACTTTTTCTGAGAGTTTAATTGCCATGTGTTATCTTTGTACATCAATCAGAAATCATTGATCAAACTTTTATTATGAAGTCAATAAACTTGCCAGATTATATGACTGTGCTATATTTCAATTCTTCTTAAAAGAAAACCTTTCTGGGGCAGTGAAATATGATGTCAAAGGGTATCTGTTTGTTAAAGAATATTGAGCCTAGTTATATTAGAATATTTGTTTTCACTTTCTGTCCTTTTTAAAGGCAAGGAAAAGTGTCACGTGTCATGATGAGTTTTTTTGTTGGGCATTTTCTGACTCTGATGTTGTTTTTGTACTACTGATAGTTTCTCCTCGTTATTTGGATTTCAGTTTGCATTTTGCCAATGTTTCTGTTGGGTCACCACCTTTATGGTTTTTGGTAGCTTTGGATACAGGGAGTGACTTGTTTTGGATACCTTGTAATTGTACCAGTTGTGTCACCGGTTTGAGGACACTAAGTGGAAAGGTATACATATTTGTATTCTAGGTAACCATTTATCCTTATTTTCGTACTACTATGTTTCCAAGGTAAAATTTGAAACCTTATATGGAACCTTACTTGCATCATAATTAATTGTGGATATCTTGATCATTAAATGGATTCACCTTTCCTTTGTAATTTCTTTTTGAATCCTGAATAAAACTGGTGTACTTCATTCTCTACCATCATAATCATCTCTATTAATTTTTCCTTTTATAAATTTTTCTATGGCAGACAATTAAGTTTAATATCTATGACCCTGATAAGTCATCTACAAGCCAAAAAGTTTCATGCAACAATAGCAGCTTTTGTAAACAAAGACAGTGTCCTTCATCTGGCAGCAGTTGCCGATATCAGGTTGACTATCTTTCAAATGGTACTTCATCCAGTGGATTGTTGGTACAGGATGTGTTGCACTTAATTACAGATGATGATCAAACAAAAGAGGCTGACACAAGAATCACTTTTGGGTAAGATACTCTTACTGAGAATTTTTATTGACTGTGTATACATTTGAAACCTCAAAACATTCTTGGCCAAAATCCATCACTTGGTTAGCAGAAGACACGTCCTGCAAGTGTTGATTAGTTTTTGGTTATTAGTTTTGGAATATTGCATGAATCATGTTCATGGATAAAAACAAAAGGGTCTATGAAATGGTATAGTATGTGTCGTCTAAAAAACCTGTGTCAAGTTCATGGCCTGGAGATTTCCTAGTTTCCGAGTTGAGCCTTAAACTAGCATTTCAATATTTTTTTTCTGTTTGATTCTCTATCTTTGAAACTGCTGTCTGTGATTAACCTTTGGTTTTTGGTATTTCTCATTTTGTTGGAAATAATTTGTTGCAGTTGTGGCCAAGTTCAAACTGGTGTGTTTCTAAGTGGAGCAGCTCCAAATGGTCTATTTGGACTTGGAATGGATAATATATCTGTTCCTAGCATCTTAGCCAAAGAAGGGCTTATTTCAAATTCTTTTTCAATGTGTTTTGGATCTGACGGTTCTGGAAGAATCACTTTTGGGGATACTGGCGGCCCCAACCAAGGAAAAACACCATTCAACATCAGGACATTGCAGTAAGTGGATATCATCTTTCATTCTTCTTTCAACAAGCTGTCACTTCCACTCTTAAAAGAACACAACAGAAATAAGAAAAATTCTTGTGTATAACTATACTAGATAGTGTTTATTTCATCCTGGATACTTCTTCACAGTCCAACTTACAACATCACCATAACCCAAATTATTGTGGGAGATAGTGTTGCTGATCTCGAGTTTCACGCAATTTTTGACTCTGGTACCTCGTTTACATACATAAATGACCCAGCTTATACACTACTTGGTGAGAAGGTAAGTAATCAACTACATCATAGCTTCTTAACTTGAGATAAGGAGTTACATGTCATGAGTTATGGAAATTTTGTTTGCAGTTCAATTCACTTGTCAAAGCAAATCGGCATTCATCTCAATCACCTGATTCGAATATCCCTTTTGAGTATTGTTATGACATAAGGTGATATTGGCTTTAGAGAAACCATATATCAACTTATTTTTCTTTTTCAACAATTAGGTACTGAATGCCATTTTACCTGCAGTCCAAATCAGACAATTGAAGTTCCCTTTTTGAATTTAACGATGAAAGGTGGAGACGATTATTATGTCATGAAACCCATAATACTAGTTGATAGTGAGGTAGGAGTAGAAAATCTTTCTGATTTTATGATATCAAATGATTCTTAACCTTCTTAATCTTAATTCCTTTTTTATATACAGAAAGAAGGAAACCTTCTTTGTTTGGGAATCCAGAAAAGTAACAGCGTTAATATCATCGGACGTGAGTATTTCATTTAAGAAACTTTTCTATCATTGAAAAGTTTTGCATTCAGAATTATCAGTCACGGTGCCTTTTATTAACATAGCAGCTACAATTAGGAGCGTTTATAGAAATGGATTGGGCCATTTTAACTGAGTCTTTATCCAACCCAAAATTTTGATATATTAATTTGTTTAGAATATACCTCAACATAATCAGTCCCGATAATATACAAGATAAAACTACGTCAACCTAACTAGTTGACATAAAATATAAACTTAACATTACATATGATTAAATCATAAAATAAAAATAGTAGTATTAAACTAAAATTAAGATATATTTTACTGTATATATTTCAAAATAAATAATATCAATTTAAATAATATTATGTTATGATTAATGTTTTATCTATTAAGTAAAATAAACATGATTATTAATACATGATTGTTTAAAAAAAAGTGTAAATTTTGAAAAGAATACAAAACACTAATCCATCCTCAAAACAAACCGAATTTAATTTCTGAAACCCAAATATGTTAATATTAACTACGGATTAGGCACGGGATAGTGAAATGGGACAGGTCATGACAGGAGTACCCCCAAATTGCAACTGCAGCATAATTATAAATGCCACCCTGCTTGTCTATTTAGTTTTACCAAATCATAAATCAATGTTATGACAAGAACATGCGTGACTTCCTTTGAGTTATTGCTGAACTAATCACACAAGCTCTTAACATTGATTATATTTATCTTCATGCAGAAAACTTCATGACTGGTTACAAAATAGTCTTCGATCGTGACAACATGAATCTTGGTTGGAAGGAATCTAATTGTGAGTATAATTTCAATTTTCTCCTCTTCAGCATTTGAACTTACCATTCTTTATTTCTCTTGCACATTGATTACTGTTAAACCATGTAATATGGTTCTGTCAGGTTATGACGATGTGCTGTCGAATACATCACCAGTTCCATCGCACTCTCCTGCTGTTTCTCCTGCTCTCGCTGTGGATCCCGTGGCTACATCAAATCCATCGATTAATCCACCTAATCGATCATTCAGGATTAAACCTACTTTAACATTTATGATGGTCGTTTTTCCACTTTTAGCAATTTTTTGAGCATTCGTCTGTCCATTCCATCATGTATTATTTTTTTAAGTTGATCACACGTGAAGCATATTGCTTCGCTTGATTTCAGTCATAATAGCTTCTGATGGGCTTGTAAATAATGTACCCAGCATAGTCGTAAAATTGAGAAATTTTGGTTCTTATATGATACGTTATTATAGCATAGTTATAATACGGTTCTTGTATCAATTGTGGCAAGTTGGCTGGCATCCTGCATACATTTGATTTAATAAAAGCACCCTAAAGAATTAGACTTAATCTCCATACATGCAAAAACTAACAAAAATAACCTTATAAAAAGAAAACTCTAGACAGTAGGAATATATTCAAATCTAGGCTGAGATATAGCTATGGCTGCTTATAAAATGGTGATCGTGGCTCAACCAAAAAAAGGATGCAGGTTTCAACGCCGTATCAAACTCATTAATTTATGACGTACAACATGTAGTTTGCAACAAAATCAAAATGAATTAAGCATTCTAATTATACGGGTTCAAAATTTCAAGTGGATGATTTGGACAGGAACAAGACATTGGACGTTTTGGCAGAAGAATAAACTAACTGAACCTCCATTGGGCACCTGTATACACCTGATTCATAATTCTGCTAACTTCCTTTTTTTCCCAGTACTGGGTTCTATAACATATAGAAGAGGTCTTAATAACTTCATACAGTTGAGAACTAGTGCCTCTTTTTCTTCATACCTTTAATTTGTGATTTTCCATCTTTCCTTGTCATAACATCAGAGGGTAACTGAATTTGCTTTGATTTCATCTTAATTGATTTAACCAAAGATGATAATTCATATGCATCTTTCTTTGACTTCAAAGCATCTGATCCTTCTTCCTCACCCATCTTCATCATGCCAGAATCATCAGAAGACAACTGCTTTCCTTTTAGTTTTGTATGCTCCCTTTCTGCAGATGAATCTGCATTATCCTTCTGCTGCTTCTTTGCAAGCTGTCTGGCATATACTGCACTCCTGCAAACACAATTATATTTTGGAATAAGATAAAATAGTGAGTTTGCAACATTAAAAGCAGCATATTCAAGCTTCTTGAACCAGAGTATGATTACAGACCAAGAACATCCAATCTTAGCAATTATAACCAGTGTACAAGATAAACATGAGAATATTAGCAGGTCTACCGGGTTATAAACAAGAGAAAACAGATTATGCACCAAAAGTATAAAATAGATTTTACACAGTCATCCAATCATAAACGATTTTGTATGGTAATTTGTTGACTTTTTCAATAATTAACTTAAAAGTCATACCAATAGCGGTTTTTGATTAATTGACTATGTAAAATTATTTTACACTGACACTGTATCTAACCATATAAACAAATGTCAGCCATAAAATTGGCATAACCTGTAAGTTCCAATCTATTTAATAGAAGTTTGGCTGCTAGATGCAGGTAAATTTTAGTTGAAAGAAATTTATCAAGCAAAGAAATGCATTTTCAATATTTGATAAGAATACCCCATGTTCACCCTATGGGAGAGAAGTAGTTACGATGAGAAACTAGAAGTTGGCACTTCTCTCACTGTTTTGCAGTTATCTACAATTAACCATTTGTTAAAACACAAAAGCACTATATAACAGTAAATACCTTTTAAATTGTGGATCAGTTGGATCAATTGCATAGTCAGGTGAGAAAAGAGCTGCAAAACGTGGATCATCATATGAACTGATTGGTATTTTCTCCTCATCAATAGCATTCTCCCTCCTTTTGCCCTTGCCTTTTTTCAATTTTAGATTATATCCCTTGAGACTGGTATCTGTCCCCTTATCGTCAGCAAGCAATAGTTCAAGCTCCTCCTTGCTCACTTTGTCTAGCCCATTCATCTCTTGGGGCTTATGTTCTTCATCTACTTTATCTTGTGCCTTCTTCCTCTTCTTAACAGCAGGCTCCTCAATGAAGAAGTCATCTGCTTCCTCAGTTGCCTCTTGATCAGTATCATCACTATCATCATCATCCGATGAATACTTTGTTTTATTTTTCCTGGCTTTCTTTTTCTCACGTCTTTTTTTCAAATATGCATCCCAAACAGTTTCTGATTTTTTATCCTTCTTTTCCATAATATGTTTGCTTAAATCTTCCAAACCTGTATTGAAGGTGACCTCCATATCCTGGGCATTATAATGTTCATCACCTCCATCTGAATCAACACCAGACTGGAGCAACAAATCACGGTACTTAGCTTGTTTTCTTGCCCTTTTATCAAGCTGATCATCTGTCTCATTATTATCCTTGCTATCATCACTTTCACTCTCATCAGAAGCTAAGAATTCTTTCAATTCAAACTGAGCTAGCTATTGAAAAGGAAGGGAAGATAAGAAATGGTCAAGTTCAATATGAAGCAAATTGGAAGAAAAAAAAAATACAATCAATATATAAAAAGCAACATACAAGACATCCATGCTTCTTAATTTTTCTTCTTACATGCAGATACAAATAAATAAATAAACACGTGTAGAGGATACATAGGTAGTGTAAAATATTATTAAGGATATAAGGACAGTTCCTGAGCATGTATATATGTACATGACATGGACATTTACAGGCATACACCACTAGATTGTTCATATTTCCATCGCAATATGTATGACTGTATGAGGGAACTTAATTTTATAAATAAGAACACCATCTAGAAATGACTATAATGGGAATACTCGAGTCCCAGAATAACACCATGCAAGAAGCCAATAATTTTTCAAAAGGAAAATAATTATCCACAACATGTACAGCAGGTTACGACAAAGCAAGCTAACCTGCTCATCAGTGAGTTTCCGATTCAAGGTCTTTACACGAAGAGGTTCATCCTCTTCCCAAGAAAGATTAACCTTACTGTGCTGAAGTGCTCGAGAGTAGAAATCTTTGCCCTCATAGTTTGCAGGTACCTAAGCGAAGAAAGGAGTCAAAATTTGCCAATAATTGTTATACTGTATAAATAAATACAGCATATGTACAATGTATATGTATATGCAGACGCATGCACATAGACCATTCGAATTTAAATAATCCACCTCGAACAATTTTCAAATTGCATTTTCAACTCTTGCGTACTAATGAATGCCATTTACAATCACATCTTAAATACCTCAGTAGCAACATCCTGAGGCGGGCTTTTGAATTCCATGTTGTCTGGAATAAACCTTAAATCAAGTGCATTAGATGACTGTTTGAACTCAAGACCATTACATTGTTCGTAAATGTAATCTGCCGTGGCACTTGAGTCACATTCCACCAAAGCAAAATAGTACCTGGGGAGCCAGAGAAAGAAGAAAGATATAGTATGATAAGAGGAAAAAAGAGAGAGAAAGGCAAATCACGTGGTATACATGTATTAAAATACTTGATGAAAGTACCAATTGATAGGATATTCGTATAAAGAATGGGAGACAGAAATGTACGGAAATATGGAGAGAAATGAGCTAATGACCCCATCTGTGAAAGAAATTCCCAGCCAAAAAACTAAGCATGAAAGCAGAAAAACAGAAACCTGAAGCCCGCACTCACCTAACTCCCTTTTTACATATTCTCTCTCATCTTACTAACTTGCACCCCCCATTCAGAGTTACTCTTTCCTGCCTTCAACCTACTAGAGTAGTAAACCTGTAAGATTTTGGGCCTGGTCTTAGCCATCATGAAACCCATCAGCTTCCCATGTGTTTTGGAGAGCTTAATCCCCATCAGCATGCATGACATCAAAACTTTATTGATCATACTGATACCATGCAAGATTATACTAATCTTTGTCATATTCGACATCTTTAAACATTAATACATTACTCTTTAGTTTAACAATATCAGCATGTACAATATTTCTTATTCCTGAATATAGGATAAGACATACACATTGGTGTAATGAGTGCTTGAAGGAAAACATAATAATTTAATTGCAAATTACAGAAAGCAATATTAACAGGTAAAAATAAAATTTTAATACAATGAGAAGATATATTTGAAAGTTTTATCTATATGCAGTTGAGTCAAGCCAATATATCATCACATAACAAGTGATTTTGATAGTTACTTACCGCATCCTGCTCTTTTCATATGCACGCAGTTTCTCATTGTAAATATCATCATTATTGCTATCTTCGTCACTTTTTTCCTTTTCATCATCAAATAGACCAACAGGCCCATGAACTTCCTCCTCTTTCATACGTTGAAGGCCAAAGTCGGTTGGATAGACAGCTACCGATTTGATCAATCCATTAGGTGGGACAAATGAGTTAAACAGTACATACAAGTCAACAGCCTAACAAAAACAAAAACACAAGTAACATTTTAACCATGTTCCAACTCACTCAAATTAAGATTTCTCATTAAAAATTTATTGCAGCAAATGCACATTAATACATACCTTAACATACCTCCAGTCCATGTTAACAACAGCAAGCCTATGTGTTTCTTTGTCAATCTCTGCTATGTCTTCCTGTCGACACAATAATAATAATACAAAGAATCAATTCATGTTAAAAGCAGCATCAGCGCATCAAACAATCAGAGATGAGAAAAATCAAAATTACAATTGAAATGCAATGCAGTACCTGAACACCAAATGCTTCTTCCTCATAAACTTCCTCATCTGCACCTTCATCTGTATCTGTATCAGTATCAGTATCTAATGCAGACTCTGATTCACTGGTCTCTTCTGACTCAGCTGATGACTCATATCTACTGGATTCTTCTGACTTGGCTCCATTTTCACTCTCTGGTTTCACTCGATTGGCTTTCACCAATTCTTCTTTCTCTTCTTCCTCATCACTACTCTGCTCTACTTTTTCATCAATTTTGTAGTAATGGCGCAAAGAACCAAGTTGAGAGGTTGGGTTTTTCTTGGGCTTGCCTCTCTTGTCAACAGGAGCAGAAGAGGGCAAAAAACTCTTGTGAGTGAACATGCGATTGAAACGAGAGTCAATGGCCACCTTCGTTTCACGTTTTGGAGCCTCACGAAACCGAGGATCAGTGTGAGCCTTTGAATATCGAGGATCACTGATAACCTTGCCATCACTGGCTGCGGAATGAGTGGAACTCAAATTACCTTTACCCTTCTTTTTGTCCTTGTGGTTCTTCACATTTGCATTTTTGGATCCCATTACGCTCTAGTTGAACGCTGTCAATGGAACAAAGTTAATGCTAGGATTTGGAGACCACAAATTGTAAATGAGCCAGTATGAGTGTGGTTCACTTGTAATGAACCCAAAAATCAGAAGAAATACAACAACAAAGCCTTATCTCACTAGGTGAGGTTGGCTAAGAAGGAGAAGAAATATATAAAATAAATAAAGTGCATGCTTCAAACAAAATTTATAAGTCAATTCTCACAACAAATCAACATTGCTTGTAGGCACAACATAGTTAACAAAATTTAAAATTAAATTATGCGTGTGATCCACTTGTAATGAACTGATACAGGCCCAAAGAGGCCCGTTATTTCTAAAGTATATGTAAGAAGGGCCTAAAGGTGGGATGCACCAGATCCTAGCCAAAAGGTGGAAATGGAGGGATGAGGGGGGAAAAGAAACGTGTCACCAGAATAGGGATATAAGTGGAGAGAGGATAGGAGTGAGGGGGGCTGGAATTTTGGTGGAATTTGGACCCTTGGGAAAGTTTCTTTGTTTTCCTTCTCATTTATATTGTAAACAGCAATATATTTTAGCATATGGACCACAATCCCAGAACTGAATACATAAAAAATACAGATTACTTCAATCCTTATTTCTTTCTTTATTTGATACCTAACATGAACCCAAAAATCAGGAGAAGAAATACAACAACAAAACCTTATCCCATTAGGTGAGGTTGGCTAAGGAGAAGAAATATATAACATAAATAAAGAGCATGCTTCAAAGAAAATTTATAACTATTTTCACAAGTCGCAACAAATCAACATTGCTTGTAGGCACATAGTTAACAAAATTTAAAATTAAATTATGAAACCATAAAAGGAAGTTAAAGAAAATGTATAAACTATAAAATCAGAGCAATAACTCAATAACAAATGGCCACATAAACCCTGCAACATTGCAACAACAACCATATAAATCCTATAAAGTTCAAATCTATTGCTAGTCTCCTCAAACCCATAACTTAAAATCCCAACAAAAAGAAGTGGCAAATATACAGTCTATAAGCACAGCTCCAAGCATGCTGAAACCTGAACACTATTCATTCAATCAACTATTACAGTCAATTACTTCCGACACTCTCACATATCTTAAATAATAACAGAAATGCCTGAATTATTTTTACCTTGAAAAAAAACAAAAGATAATCAAAGAACTTGAGGTCAGCCAACCAGCTGCTACCTATTATTAGACTACCAAAAATTTAATCTCCTAGCTGATCATTTTAAGACAACCATATTAACTCCTTTCATAGCAATTCTACCACAAAATCAATATCACAATTGGTAATAGGAACTACAAAATCTAAAGCAGGATTCTGTAACAAGAAATTGGCAAAAATCCTAACACACACAGACACTCATAAACCATATACCATTATTAACAACTAATGCTAACTATAATAGAGGTTGGTTAATATTTTCTAGTGACTAACTTCTTATGTGATTCAATCCAATAGTAGAATAGTTGTACATGAGGTACAAAACAAGCTCAGCGTGTTACAAGCGGACTAACTGAGTTTGAGCATTATAACTTTCAACCGATTAGAAGCCACCAATTAAAAGGCAAATGAGCTTCCTACTTCCCCTAGCTATGTATACCAAAAGGGTAAAGCCTATTTAGACATTCAATTTATTCTTACTACTCCCTCACATAAGCTTAACATCTAATTAATACAATATATATATATATATATATATATATATATATATTATATATATATATATCCCATTGAAACACATTTGAAATTCACAGGGATTTCAAAGAATGTTCTAAAAATCAATCAAAATAACAAACGCAATCAAGTTTATGAAACATTGCCTCTCAAGTGACATTCTCTAGTGCAAAGGTAATAGAAACAATTTCAGAAACCGTGAATAGTTATGCAGACCTCACCTAGCCTCTACAAACAACGCAAAACACGTCCCTATCAAATGCACTATGAACACCAAGGATTTGCTCCAGTAATCCCACACACCACAAAAATGCATTGAACTCACATAATTAGAGAGTTGAACATGAATAAAAACAATTTATGAGCAAAACAATGATATTGGAATTGCACTCACATACGCATAAATTAAAACTTCGCAACGGCTAATCACTAACAAAACAGAGAGGATTTAGAAAAGAAAACAAAAAGGATCGAATCTAATCACCTCTTTACTATTATTGTGTGAGCATAAAACTAATAGTGTGTTGTTCAGTAGAAGAGAAGGATGAAAGTGTGGGACCAAACAGGGGAGGAAGAACGGCGTTGGGAGTGTGGAGGAAAAAGACCAGCAAATAGCAATAGGGTTCCTTTCTTTCCTTCCTTTTTCCAAAAGTTTTTTAAAAATCTTTTTCTTCATTTAATTTTTTTTTCTCTCTCTAGATTTAAGATAAATTTATTTATTTCAAAAAAAAAATATTTTTGTTTTTAATTTAAATTTTATTAAAAAATTAGTTAAATATTATCACATAAAATTTACTTACTAATATCTGTAAAAATATCATATTAAACCTAATTAATATTACATAATTATTTTAATTTGTCATTATTTTTACATATATTTTTAATGACATGAGGGATTAAAATAAAATTTTTTTAAAATTAAGAGATTTAAATAATAGTTTTAAATTTGAAAAACTAAAAATATACTTAAATATTTTATATTTTTTTATAAATAAATTGGCTTAAATATATTTTTTTATAAATATAATTATTGCTTATTTTTAATTTTTTAAATTTTAATTGAACAATTTTAGTTGTTAATATTGCAATTGTGTAATTTTATTTTCTCAATTTTTAATTAAATAGATTTAGTTTCTTAAAGATTGAAATTATACAAACTTTTTACTTATTTAAGTTATATATCTTAGTAACTTCATTAGTAATGAATATATATATAATGAAAAAAAATGAATGAAAAGTATAATATATATATAACTTAAATAGGTCAAACATTTTAAAATTACAATACTTTATGAACGTAAAATGTATAATTACGATATTTGATAAACTAAAATTGTTTAATTAAAATTTATGGCCAAAATCATACAATTGTGATATTTAAGAAATTAAATTAAGCCTAAATTTTATCTTTTAATTTTAGTCTTTTTATATACTTTTTAAATTTTTTCAATCATAATTATAAAAAATAAAATAATATATAGACTAAAATTTAATATTTTAATTATAAAAATTAAAAGATAAAATTCAAGAAATTATAAAGATAAAAAAAATATTTAAACATTCCAAAATTATAAAACATACACTTAAAAGATTAAATGAAATTACTATTTTAATCTTTAATAAATATTTATATTTTTGGTAAAAAAAAATATTTATATTTATAAGATTATAAATTATAATAAATAATTGCTTTAATTTTAAATATATAAATTATATTATGATATAACACTATAAAATTATTCTAAATTGTTAATAATTTTTTTCATAAAAATATTGAAATTCAATTTAAAAAATAAAATATTATAAGAAAAATAATTAGATGATTACAAAATTGCTAGAATTAATCTATAGTAATTTTTTTTAAGGGAGTCTGATTGTAGTTATTAAAGTAAATTCATGAGAATTTAATTTTATGTTTGATCTTTATTTTTATTTTTTTTGTAATCTTCCTATCAATCAAAATAAGATAATTGAAAAGATTTGATAGAAGTCCCTAATATAAGATAATTGAAAAGATTTGATAGAAGTCCCTAATATTAGATGTTGAAATAAGTTTAAATTTTCAGCTTAGTCAATAAAAAAGTATTATTAACACAATTTTTAAAAATATATTGATTAAAATTATTTAAAAAATCATAAAATTATAAGAGAAATAATAAATAAAATGTAAGGCTCAATAAATATTGTGATTTTAAATAAAATTCAATCAAGAAAAAAGTGTATTCAAAATATACTTTCAAATATAATGTTTTGTTAATATTTCCTTAGTTAAAAGTACATTACATAAGACTTACATATGTCTTAGATAGAGGTAAAAATATATATGTTATGTTTTGCTATGAATAAGTCTAATTTTTTTATATGATAATAAAATATAAGCATATTTTAGTGATCAAAATATGTTAAGATTATCCAATATTATTATAATTAATTATGTGTTGTACCAATAAGATATGTTAATCTTATCTAATCTTTTATCACATCATGTGGATTTAATATATTTTTGTCTTGAGAATAAGTTGAATCAAAAAGCAACAAGATATGGTGTACCAATCCAACTGAAGACATGAACTCGGTTATATATGCTACCAAGTTAATATGTTGATATGAACCAACTATGTACGTTATCAAGTTAATATACCAACCTTTATGCATAATTAGAGAACATGTGCAATCAAGTTGATATATCAACTCGATATTTGTATTTATACAATAGGTGCTTCATTGATATGTCAATTGTAACGATTATAAAATTGATGTAAACAAATAATTATGATCAACAAGAAAAAATGTATGTATGACATAATAAACAAGAATATTGGACAAAATAGACCAACTTTGATTGTCGAAGTATTTTTTGTAGGTACCTCAATTGTGTTCAAAGCGAATATCAAAGATATGAGCATTCAATATCCAAGAGCAACATTGAAGGAAGATCTTATAGAATAACTACTTTCCTTAAGATTATTTTTGTAAGAACATATAGTAAAAACTCTCACTCTACATATATTATATTATCTATATAATGGAAGAAGATGACAAAAATAAGTCTAACAAATTATTCTTAATTTGAACCATTTATTATATTTTAATCTAATGACTCAAATTAAACAACTAAATCTCCCCTCACATGACTTCCCGTATCAATTTTCCACCACCTGAATAAAAAGATTGATTGACCATTGTAGGCTTATGTTATGTTTTCTGATATGCCACATGTCGAAGCTTGTGGCTTCTTAGAAACAATGTCATTTTTAATTGTTGTTTCTTATGCACCAGAAGGTGTCTTCTAGTAGATAAAATGCTTCTCATGGACTTGGTTTCACTACAAGGGTATTATTCATATGACATTTTTTTTAAATTGGTGTTATCAGCCTTTGGAATGCCTAGGAAATCCCTAATTATTGTTAAGGGTGGTCATTAGCCTTAGTAGCTGATGGAGTCTTGGATGGTGAAAACTCCATGGATCTTCACGCAATCTCCTTCTTGAATTCCTTGAGAACTTTTCAAGGACTTGAATCGAAAGAAGAAAAAAAAAGAAGGAGAAGTATTGAACCAATTAAGAACCAAGCTTCTCGATTAGAAAAAGCCTAAGCCTAAAGCTACAAGGAGGATAGCTCAAGACAATTTGGAGAAGAAACTCTCCAAGGGACTTCAGCTAGAGAGAAATACTTGTTAAGTTAGACGAAGCAATTCCCAGTAAGGTTTTGAATGAGACAAATATAATGCATATTGTTATCTCTAACAAATATGTTAGTGTTTCAGATAAAGAAATAAGTACAGGCAAGCTCAAGAATAAAGAATATACCCGTATCACCGTCTACACCTGTACCAAGAGATATGAGCTAAGCACCGGATAAAGGCTGATCAAAAGAAGGAAATACATCAGACGAAAACGCCTATAAACACAAACACAACGCAAATAAAGAACAAAGCACGAGCAACCAAGATGAAGGGAAAAAGCTAACAAGATGTCAGATGAGGAGATCAAATGAAATCAAGCCTAGCACAAGAAGGACAATGGACAAAACTAACTTAGAGCTGACCAGACGGAGACTCAAATACACAAACGAAAACCAAGAATGTTGGATTGCATCTGAAGTCACAACAAGAAGAACTACTTAGCATCCACACTCTTAGAAGAACGCATGAAGTCATCAAAATAAAATAAGAGAAAAGAGAAAAGTGGATTAACGCTTATCCACGAGTCAAATATGCATGTGTTAGAGCAAGTACACCTACCAGTTAGCAAAGAACAACGCCTCTGTAGCTATAATGCCAGGAAAGTACAGAGATGTTTAGGCCATGATTGATGTCAGACATAAAAGCAAACAAATGGTACAAAAGACTTCGTGAAACGCAGATTCGGAAAGCAAACATTTAATGCAAGATCAAATGCATTAAATGCAAGATCTACGAAGCCTGGAAAAGCTGAACAAGAGAATTAGATGATGGCTACTCAAGCATCAAGATCAAGTCTGATCACAAACGGTAGATCATTCAACAAACACTAGATGAGGCCTACTACAAGTCGAGAAATTGAAGTATCAGAAGGAAAGCCAAAACAAGACCAAACCTGGAACAAGAAAAGTTATGTCGAACATCAGATGAAACCAGATGGTCAACTTTGTTAAAAGAACAGTTAAGGCAAAACACATCATGGGAACCAGACAAATCAAGCAAATTCAATAGGCAAAGTACAACTTGTGCACCAGACGACTATAAGTCCAATATCAAATGAAGGTGTGTCAGGACAACCTCCATTGCAACATAAGAAATCAGACGAAGCATGAGACAAAGAATAGAAGAAAGTCAATAATGTTGAGATTGGGGGAGACTGAGATTGTTAAGATCACCTATGAAGATTAAAGGTTTTGATGATAACAAATGTGTGGAACAAAGCTGACCAAGGACATCAACAACTTAGAAGTCAAAAACAAAGTCAAAAGAAAATGTTATGTAATAGGAGTAGTTTATAGATTGCTTTGTTTGAGCTTATTTGTTTTGTGTGTGTGCTTTGTGCTTTGGCTAATTTGTATCTAATCTGATTAGGGAATGTATGATGATGAGTTTAAAAGGTTAAAAAGTTATTTTGAGACTTAAAATAAAGTTTTGAAAACTAACTCAAAATAATCGATTATCATTAAATATAATCGATTATTCCAGCAACAGGCAAAAAGGATGCCTTGCTGCAATAATCGATTATTTGTGAAATAATCGATTATCCTAGAAATGACTCTCTGGAATAATGATTATCCAGCAAAATAATCGATTAAATTGTTCTTGGTTGATTTCCAGAAATCATGAAGAAAAAAATAATTGATTATTCTTTAAAATAATCGATTATCTGGTTCTGAAAAACTTATAAATAGTTTGACCATTTTGAAACTTCATAACAGAGTTAGAATTGAGAATCAAAATTAGAAAAAACGTGTTTGTGAAGTCTTTGTGACAATCTTGGAGATTTTTCTTTGTGAATCCAAGAAGAAAAACGTTTGTGAAAAGCTTTGAGAAAAGATCATCATCATCACATTCTTGAAAGGAAAGAGATTAAGATTTGCTTCTGAATTCCAGGTGAATTCGTTCCTTAATTCTTTGTGAATACTTGTAAATCTTGAGTAGGTTTCTCAAGTGGTAAG